GACAATACTGATAATACTTACGACACCTACTTAGTAAATAGTTCAATAGAATAATATTGTATTGGCAATGTAAATATAGTGGACAACATCTGTTATGTAATAGTTTATTAACCTGACGTATAAATGTAATTGTAGTAAACGCACGACGACCAGGCCGGATATTCTAGCTTGTTAACGTTTCGCCACAACATCTGTTATGTAGTAATAGTATGTCTATCTGAATTGTAACTGACACCATCAACTGTTAACTGTTCCGAATTGTTTATGTTCTTGTTGTGAGGGCTAGCCCTTTATAATAGCCTCCGGCTAGTTGGGCAGTCCTGGCTGCATACATGAGTGTTATCAGCCTAATAAATCAAATCAAATCAAATCTCCTATCCCACTACTGCAGGATATAGAAGAGATCCATCATTTGATCCAGAAATATAGACTCTCAAACTTCCCAACATTTTGTCAGCCATATTGTTTACATTGTGGGAATTTCAGGTACTTGCATACATTTCCAAACCACAACAGATTTCTTTAAAAGTCAAATGAAACAAAACTACATATGTAAGTCCAACATATTGCAGGATATTGAAAATGTACATGTTTTTGATAAAGAATTACAGACTTTCAAACATGTTCAATGATTTGTCATCCATATTGTGGACACTCAAAACTGCTTTGGGTGTCAACTATAATCCTAGGGAGAAATTCTCAAACAAATAAAGGATCTTTTCCCAAATAAAGTAGAAAAGTAGTATATATATATACATATTTCTAACATATGTTGTAATTTCAAAGAGATACATTCCTATCAACCAGAAACATGAGCATAAGAGAATGATACACCTAGTGTAAGCATTGGCCAGGTCCCCCTCCCCCACCTGCAGTAAATGTTTACTAAATGATATTCATCAATGTTTGGATTTTATTATAAACACTCATGACCACCTATGAGCTGCACTGCCAATACTAGTAATATTATTGTGGAATAGGAACCCATGATGGGGTATCAACTTAGAAAAAGCCATACAAAGTCATGGTGTATGAATAGAAATATAATGCATGTACCAGAGGATTATCTATGCAATGTTATGTGATGCAGTATGAAATTTGACAGTATTTTAGTTACTGATTGTCTGCAGAAAGAAAAGCAAATGATTATGGTGCTTTCATCTCATTATTATTCTCTTTATTTTCTAGTTAAAGTACCGGACCAAGGGTGGTACTGGTTTGTTCTACACCAGGAATGTGGAGTTCAACCCTGCCTAAGACACCAGATCACTATCTATTGCTATCTTCCCTTTCATCATTTAATGTTAAGACCAGAATATTCGTACCTTGGTTTAAAATCTGACAGTGTATTATATATATATATCTACGCAAGTCAAGCCATTTCATTGTTGGCATTATAATGTTCTGTGTTATGATATCTAAAGACAAGTATATGTGTATGTGGTAGGATCAATTCTAATAAGACATACCTTAATATATTGGAAGGTTATAGATACATGCATTTTGACTGGAATCATTATGATCATGATAGAAATAACTTGTTACATCACTGTGTACAATTTTTTAAATATTATTGTCGTAAACCCAAGGTATTGCCTGTGTTGTACCATGTTTTTTGCATTCCTTTTGATACACATTAAAGACAAAACCTGCCATGCAATTGTCTATGTTGCCTTATTTTTTATAGATAATCATATAGTATGATTTCACAACAGTGGAAGCATTGGGATGACGAGCTAGAAGACAAGTATCATGTTAGACAAGTGTCCAATAATTTTCTGAAAATCATCCCAGTACCAAGAAATTTAATTGGAATGGCCTGAGTATAAATTAAGCATAAATATTTACATATTTTAACAGCCGGACATTGTAAGCATAAAAACTAAAACAAATTTGAGACTGAAGTAAACAAAAACGACAGCGAACAGTGTCACTGCGATGTGACCCTTGACCTATAATAGGGGACCGTCCATTCTTCAACAAGGCAGGGGTGACACGTATTCTTCCGTGCAGCGA